TCTCTCTCTCTCTCTCTCTCAGAAACATCAGCTTCCAAACTTGCCTGCCAGTGTTGGGACCAGCCTGGGCAGAGAGGGATACAACATCCCAGCAGAAAGACCGAGATACTCGATTAAAAAAAAAATTCTCCCCACTCGGGAATCGAGTTCGGGTCTCCTGCATGCGACAGCGAAGCGCCGAACCGCAATTCCACAGACGCTGGAAATTCAAACCCTGTACCTCTTTGCCCTGTACTCACTCGAAGTCTGGCTTGACGTAAAAAATGACACCGTCTATAGCTCCAGGCAATGTGGCGCCCTTGATCAGCAGAACAGTGATGAGGATGTATGGGAGAGTGGCTGTTACATACACCACCTGGAAGGTAGATGTTAAAAAAAAGTTTTGTTTTAATTTTAGTTTTAGTTAGAGTTTTACGACACTCGCAACACAATTGGGTCATATAAGAACCGGAGATTAGAACTGTAAACTTAAGAGTAAAATACAAAGAAGAGAAGGTGGAGAGATCGGGTGGAGAGATATTTGAGAGGAAAGAAAGAGCAAACCACACAAGAGTGCCGTTTAAGGGGGGGGGGGGGTTGGTAATAGTTTTAATGCACCTAAACCGACGTCTACGGTGTAGCGATTGGGCCCTTCGCAGTTATATTTGAAGACGTGATTTTTATTCTCGGAAAGGTAAGTTTGGCTACTTAAAAATTGAGTATCTTCATTTGGCTTCTGGGATGCTGTACCCCACTCAGAGCTGCTTTGCCCTCACAGGCAGGATCAAAGCATCCGGCAATCTCAATGATCAAAATCAGCACTTGTCAGCTCCCACTTTTGCCACCTTCAGGAAGCTAACAATTTCATATAGCCTATCTACAAGTACTTCCAAGCATGGCATTTAATAATACTACCCAAGTCATTCTCATCGCCCCCTTAGATTACTACCAAATCGCCCATTTGTTGACTATACTGCCCAGTCTGGTAAGTAGCCTACTGTTCTAAACTGTGTTGAAAGGGAAAAGCAAAGGGGTGTGTGATACATTTAGAGTCTCAAACATGCTTGCTTACAAACGATACCAAATATGCTCTTAAAAAACAACAACAATCCCATTAATTTGAAGAAAAAAAGGGGGGAAATTCCAGAGAAGATCTTACTTTTCCAAGTGACTGGACTCCTTTGATGGCTCCAAGTAAGATGAGGATTGCAGAAACTACCATTGCGACGCTCGTGTGCCATGGAAGCCCGCCCATATACTCAAATCCAGCAGACATCTCCAGAACATTATTCCTGTCGAGAGAACAGAAAGACAAGAGAGAGAGAGAGAGAGAGAGAGAGAGAGAGAGAGAGAGAGAGAGAGAGTGAGTTCCACTACTTTGTAATATTAATGTCCAACCAATGCGAATAGTATATGGGGGTTTGGCTCTTCGCTGTTATACGCCAAAGTTGTGTGTTTGGTTCTCAAATGGGGTATCTTTGTCTAAACCCTGGTTAGCCCTGATAAGCAAGGTGGAAGTAGCCTGATTCCTAAAAGATCTACGTTCTGTTGATGAAGGTGAAAAACTGTCACTATCATTACAACCAGATACCTAAGTTACATTATAAAATAGGAGTACAAGAAAACTGATAACATAGCCCACCAACTAAATGATCAAAATTGTATCGTCCTGACAACGAAATACATTAATTTATCGATTATTCGG